TAGTTACTTAGGTTTACTATTGCCAAATATTATCTTCTATATATCTCCCTATATACTAATGTCCGCCAATTATGCAGTGTCATTTTTCATCTTTGCTGTGCGTGACCAGTTATATTGAAGTGACGTATATGGATAACGTATTATTTATTTTATAGAATAGTGAATAGAATAGAATAGAATCAGACTGACGTAAATAAAAGAACGCCAATCAGAATGGAGAGAGGTACATGACATGATTCATAAACTATAGTTATTTATAGAAATCGGCATTTTGGTGTTAGTACCCAAAAAATAAATAAATAAATATATAACGTTTATTTATATACGTATAGCGGATTTTTTTTTTAAATTAGTATTTATTAATTTTCAGCCCCCAAGTGACTGTGGTTTTCAGCCCATAATTTATCTACATAGGAATGCCCGTCTCTTTATTTGTTTTCCGAACTCAACATTCTATCCCTATGCATGGTACGGGGCCTTGATAGTCAATAAAGCACTACATTATCGCAAATATTTTTGGCAATGACGTCATAAAATTCGCTGGTATTGAAAATGCTATAATATAATGTTCAAAAATGGATTTGTCCAAGCGATGTTGTACTCATAGTTCAGTATAATTCGTGAAATAGAGAGACAGTATGGATAACACATAGTGATGTGCACCAGTGTAATATGAATCTATATTTCTTTGATTGATTCACAATTACATACCACAAATATACAGTTATATAATGCCACATACAAGTAATCAAATAAGCATTTGCATGAAATTATTGTTTTTGCAAACTAAGAAACTTGTGTTAACGTAATAATTATTCTAGTTCATGATCGAAATAATACAATACCAAGATATGCAGATGGTTATCCATGCAGTTTCTTTGTTAGATACCAAAGTTAGACTTAAATATATGCGCACATACAAAAATGCGATCGCCTATGTTAATAACTGTGTCGCCACGACAAATCAACGCGTTACGGGTGACTGGACACATTTAGATATTGCTGGAACGTTCGAATATTAAAATAATGTACACGTTCAAGTTCACGTGAACTCCGAGAATCCGATATGATATAAGTGTTTTTACAGGAAATAACAATGTAGCGAATGTAGTTTCATTTCCGCTTGGTAGATGGTTTCAATCTTCTTTTTAATGGGTCTCTACATGTAGTGAATATTTGATATGCACAATTTCGTTTTCTGTAAAAACAATGTTACAGTTTTATAATAATTGACTCACAAGGGATATCTTTTCATGGTCAATACATAGTAGGTCAGTGTCCCTTTTAGTGCAATTTATAACATACGTTTAGGCATATACTAGTATAGTGATTTAAATAACAGTCAAGCCATAACCCTTATAACTTCTATGTATAAAATACTAGTGATGTACTGTATGATATTCTACCGAGATAGGCATACTATTTTGTTTTAGAAATAACTGCAGGAAACAATAAAATAAATCCATCAATAACAAACATATTCTGAGTCTGTACTACACAGACAAGACATAAAACACAAAAGGTAAAGCCTGTCAAGTATACAGAGATACTCCGTATAAAATCAAGTAATCGTCTCCAGAACGTTTTTAATTTTTCGCATTTGTTATTCTGAACATAACCAGTGCATATTTAATCGACTGAAATCAATATCCTGTTTATACATCTTTGCAAATACATGCATTAAAAACTGTTTAAGATAGCGAGACGGGGAAACGGGTAATAGTTTAATTGTAAAATTACAGAAAAAAATGTTTCAGTAATGAACCACGTCAACCGAGTAATAGAAGACACTAAAAAAAGCTTGAAATATATACACTATAGGCGGGATTGTTTGTTTTTACTTCGAATGCAATCGCGTAACGGTCAGATTACACAGGATGTAATAAAGCTAAATGGTCAACTACTCAGTACGCAAATTAGATTCTTTGTTTTCAGTCCGTCACTCAACTTAGTATGTAAATGTACTGAGGACATGATTACCCATAGGTGGGTTCATGAAAATAAACCGAAATTACGCACCAAATGCATCGCACACAGTAAATGTTTACCAACGATTCAGGAAGTTTACAATATAATGTTTAATACTAGTTTCGTTTTACCCCCTCGCTACCTTAAATATGTCCATCTACGCTCATCGAACACATTTGAATCTTGAACCTCTTCCAGCAGAAACATTTTCCTACGTAGCAATAAAATAAGCCACTAACACAGAACAATCAAATTATATCAAGCGTAATACAAAAATAGCAAAAATATGCGTCTTCTAAAATGAAGCACGTGATGACAAAATACTACGGTTGAATCGTGCATTGTTATCATCATTTATTCAACTAGAGACAAACACATATAATATGTCCCGTGGCAGAGCGGGTTGTCGAGTGTTGACAGTAGAACCTGCTCTAATATGTACCCTAATATGTTATTTCTTTAGAAAGTGCTTGAAGAACTCATGAGACATCAATTATCCAAATTTTGGCCATATTTTTCAAAAATCTAAGATGGCAAATAAAAATCACGCAACTGACTAACATTGTTTTATTTTTATCTAGACGTTTTTGCAATATATGTCACATAAAAATATCAAGTTGATCTGTCAAAGCGATCACGAGAAACATGAATTGTGGTTATTTTTGCCGATTATTCAAGATGACGTCCAAACCATGAAACTGATAATATATCAAGTTGATCGGTCAAAGCGATCACGAGAAACATGAATTGTAGTCATTTTTGTCGATTATTCAAGATGACGTTCAAACCATGAAACTGATAAAAATTGTTTCATTTTCCTCGTAAGAATCAATGACTATATACGCTACAATATCGAGGTGATCGGTTCAAGCAATCCTGCAAAACAATAAAAAATCTCGGCAAAATCACGCGACTTGTCCGACTTATTTGTCAACTGTTTGAAGGGATTCTATACAAAAATGAAACATGACAAATTTCATAGTAATTGGATGAAGTCATCATCAGTAAAAAAAAAACTAGAAAAAATGGCTGCCAAAGCATATGACCAATCACATATATGCTAACAAAAATATCATTGTGTTCAGTGGTTCTGAAAAGTTTTTCAAGTGTGTTTAGCCTTTTCTTCTGCAAGAAGACGGGAAAAGTCACATGACCGCTAATGTTTTTACAGCCCATATATCAATAATGCTGCTACAAACAAATCAGATTGCCCAGACCCTCAAAACTAGTCAAATATGTCAAAGATGGGTCAATCTAAGATGGCTGCAAATCAAGTCGACCAATCACAATTCTGAAAAATAGGTGCACCAGGTCACATAGTCCCCAATGTGCTCGAGATTCTTTTCAAAAGACATCATTCTAGAGCGAAAATGAAAGTTCAATTTATATCTTCTTCTGCACAACTAGACATAGTGAGTTTCATGATGTATTCGTACAATACACATAATGCTAATATGGTCGTAATTTCCAATTATTTCACTGTGATGCCTGTATTTTCGCAGTTTTAGACATATATGGTATGAACACTAAGGATATCAGACATTTATAATTTAGACAACGGGCTTTCTATCGACAGTCTAGAAACAACCGACATTTTTTTGCTGCAGCCTGGGGTATCATGGATAGTTGTAGGAATAGATAGAGGGATTAATTGGGATTTTGTGCTTTTTATTGTAGAACTAGGAACACATAATCGCTCCATTCACGTTATATTTACATTCCGACACTAGGTATTGTACATTACATAATATTCGAAAACATCACATATTTTAACAAAATTACGATTTATATTACAAATAATACACCTCAACATATTTTACATTAAGAATATTTAATCAGAAAACAGAGATGAATTGCGACTGTCGCCACCAATTGGCAGATGTTGTCTATTGCATAATTTGCACACTAATTAAAGAAGCCGTTACTTTAAACTGTGATAAATGTAAACGTCTACTTTTCTCTTTTAAATGTAATATATAAATATAAAATATCAATGCATGACAAGTATATATAAATGAACGGTATTATAAATGAGTCTACACTATGTTTCTTTTAACTGTGAATTGCATACATTTGATGGAATAAACTTATTGCCGAACTTTATATATAAGTGACATACATAAGATAGAAGTGAAATAAAAGTGCATTAAAGTACAAATATATGTATTACATGCTATAAGGCCACATGCAGTTTTGGAGATGTTTCTTAGTAGCATAACGTATTCTGAGGTCACGTACGATTGTGTGTTAATTTGCCGTATTCAAATAACCCGAGTATGAATCGATATCGTACAACACGGGTCATCGTGAAAATATAATAGTGTTAAACTCCAACGTTTGTATTTCATATAATTTACTCAATTTAATTTATGAAATGAACCGTAAATCGAAAGGACATTCCAACCACAATAGATTTATAACTAAAGGTTGTAAGTGAGTAGCATATATTCAGTCCTTTTAAATAGCGTAGTCAATATACATACGGATATAGTGACGTGGTGTTCTATTTATAAATCTGAACATACGGGTAATATACATGTATACACAACTAGATACAAATAAATATGCAAAGCCGGTTACACATATTAACGTCATAATATTTTAAGTAATTTATGGTGTGCAACAGTAAAAAACCTTAAATGTAATTGTATTTTTTTTAAATAATTGAATTTGTTTCACATGAACATGACGTCATACAAATAAAATGTGTATTTGTTCATAAAATACTGTAAATGTAAAAAATGATAAATAAATAATATAGTTCTGACAGATCGATAGAAAATATTACACGGGAATGGTTAATCGTTAGTATATTTACACTAAAATGAAGTGTTGTTCATGAAATTGTTACAAATATTTAACTCCGTGTTTATTATATGGACGGCACAATTATGTTCACCAATACAGGTTTATTTATACAACCATATTACTGTTATTCAAAGTGTGATTACGTCATTAACAAGACAAGTAATAAACACTATTGATACATTCAGAATGGTGATAGACTGAAATATATTTGTCGAAAATATTTTCCTGTTTTAAGGAGCTGGATCTTCTTCGTCAAAAGGTGGCAGTGTTCCAGTGTATCCGTCTTTTCCAAGAAGCCAATATGTGATTAGATTTCCTTTACCCTAAAGAATAATCATATAAAGTATGTTAACGGGCGGTCTTAGCCTGTCTTGAATTGGAGTTTATTACGAAAATACAGCAAGTGACAAAATAGATTCTTTCTATTCATTAATATTGATTTCCAATGGCTACCGGATAGTATCAGCGACTTTACGTCTACAGAAAGTCTCAATAATTGAGAAAATAAATCATGTTTTGTTTATATAATACACGACTACGAATATTTATTGCCTCTTCTATTTTAATTATTTCTATTGTTATTTTACCTTCATGAATACCTCCCCGCGTTCTTTGACATTATAACCTCCAAGTGTGTTTAACAACTTTACTGTGGTAGGACTCACGTGAATACGTAGCGCTGTTGGAAAAAAAAAGACATGCAAAAATTAAGACTATAGTAGAACCTTTATTTAATAATTATGTAAACAATTTGTATTAAATATTTATTATGTAACTATTTTGTTCTCATTATTGCATATCTTATAATGTCAATGTGTTTAAAGAAAGTTGTTTAATTACACAGAGTTCTGAACCGTTCACTTTTAAGTTAATTTAGGACTTTCTGTCTATTTATATAAACTTAATAAAGTATAGTCATGGTTTGCTCTAAAAAGTCTACCCAATCTTTTCTGCAACCATTTTCCCAATAACTCATTACACTGGTCAGATTTATACAATAATGTTTTTTTATAACAAGTTTTCTTATTTGACATGGTCGGATATTCACTGCCTTGTCAATGAACATCGCCCGCAGGTGGCTGAAAAGCGCATGTTTGTTATTATTACTATGACGCCTTGGAATGTTCAAATTGCGCGATTTAACAAATGTATATAGTGTAAAATGTATGGTTGACAATTGTTATCAAGTTGATGATTGTTGTCACTTCACATTCATGATTTGTTTAAAGATGTGTTCACTCAATACCCGCCTCAAGGTCAAGTTGAAATGATCAAGATTGATTTTTCCCTTGATAGTATTCCAATTAATTCACCTTCTACCAAAAACACTACTTAGATGTGATAGCTTATTGAGACAGGCAGATAGATGCAACAATCACTGAGTTGATTAACTATAATCACCCACATGTTTTGGTTTCACAATTTGCCTAATACGTTTCTTATAATTTTTAGCCTAGGGTATAAATTTCCACTTCTCCAGCGTATATGTATATGCCCGTGATTTGCATGAGGAAATGTACAATTAGAGAAAGTTTCTTAAAATTCATCTGTATCACGCTTTACCGTTAAATGTTGTCACTGTACGTCACACAGTCTAAAAGACATATGTAATTTCAGCATTTGTTATTAAATTGTATATTTTATTTACAATCTGAAGACATTATATAGTTCCATTACCAGTTCCAAAAATATGTCATACGTACGCAAAGAAAAAGAAAAAGATGGAGAAAAGATTAAATGCTCTAACTTACGCAGTCCGTTTGATTCGAAACGCGAGGCGGTGTTCACCGTGTCTCCGAATAAGCAATACCTTGGCATAGTAAGACCAACCACGCCAGCTACACATGGTCCTAAAATCGTACAGAACAATAAAGAAACGAGTTGTATTGTATTTACGTGTATATTACATATCCATATCATTCGCTCTATTGCAAGCTCTAACATCGTAGTATCCTCGGGCCTACAAGGTAATATGCAACTTATTGTGAATAAATGGAATAGACAGGAAATTGCAGATAAGAGCTGTAGTTGTCTTATGTGGATGCTCTCAGAAAGCTGATTGTCATAATGAATATACATGGACGTTATTCAGTCGCTGGCGTGTTCGCCTCGCTTCTCAGAGATTGGGGGTTCGATCCCCGAATCGATTGCTCACTCCGTAGTATAAATTAGTGTACATTATGCTCAAAACACCACACCATAAATATAAATGGTAGAATCGCTTTATATCGTGTGCATTTCGTGTGTTATAGCTGTCCCCAGTGCATGTTAGAGAACCCACGTATCTACTTCATGAAGATTTGCTGAATTATTCGCTGGATGGTGTTTTGTTTTCTCTTGTGTCAGCGCCCGTAAAAGCTGGATATCCAAATCTGTAATTGGTCCGAATAATAAATAAATTATTCACCTGTATGAAGTCCGATTCGCAGTTTCAATTTGTCATCTGGACGATGTCTAATTTTAAACGTCTCAACAGCAGATAGTAGTTTTAAAGCCATTGTACAGATCTCTCCAGCGTGCCTATCTCCATTGCGAGTTGGTAAACCACTTACTACCATATAAGCATCGCCAATGGTTTCCACCTGTAGATAAAAGAACTCAGTCTTTAAAACATCACTCATTAGTGCAACCGAATTTATATCAGATGGATAAATACAATACGGTTTAAGATTGAGAACGTGTACGTGAAAGACGACCATGGCATACGTATTTATTCATTTATTTATTGATGCTGCAATATCTTACTTTTGATTTCTTTATTTCACTGAATTCATGAATTTTGAGTGAATTGAATATTGTATAAAATCTTTTCACACAAGCTAAAACAGTTTTGTTGGCGTACTCGTTTTTTGGAGTAATGGTTTTGAAAACAAGATCATTATACTTATATTTATGATTATTATCATCATTTTTTTAATTTTATTGAATACACGTAATCATTTGGCTATGTTAATACAATATTTTAGTGATTAGAAATTATAACTAACAAACTACTGCTAATTATTATAGTATCTTTATAGCAATGTCTATCTACTGGATATTAAGAGATAATAATCAAATAAAGGCGTCAATTGCACTTACCTTTTTGTAAGCGCATTACAGTCTTACAAACAAAATAGCTTCAATTCCCACAAAAAATTCTTTGTAACAAATTGTTTCATAAAAATTACAAAGTCGGGAATAGAAAACGAAATTTGTCATTTCCTGTTCACCAAACCATGTTGCGAATGATTAACCTCATAGTCCAACTATTTAACCTAAGCATTGTAACACGTTTACAGATAATTACATTTCTACAGTTACGTATGAAATAATGGCATAATTCGGCGATTTTGCCTTCGATTTTTAAATGTTAGACAAATTGTCAGACGGTTATTGAATATGGTGAATAATATATAGTGAATCAAATATTGATATTGGAGTTAAAATAGGAGTTTGTAACTGCATTATTTATATTCTAAGGTCTAATATTATAATTGAAATTGTCCAACTGTGATTGTATGCTTTACAGTGCTTTGTTAACCAGTCGGATACTAGGCAATATTGAGTTCTGTCAATCGGAATTTATTTTTTTTACCATACATTACAAATGTACTTAATATTACTTATTATACCTTTGACGTATTCAGTTACAAATGAAATATTCGATCCGGGGCAATTTTTACATTTTGTTTTAGATCTCCTTCGAGAGAGTGGGTCGATTTCATTCCTAATTACTATTTTATCAGACAATTTCATCGCCTAGACTTCAAATGCTGTACATCAGAGCAAGACCGGATTGTTTAAGTTAATGCTCAGTGAGAAAGTTATACGTAGATATGTTTCACTGTGCTATTTCACTGTTGAAACAAGTACAATGAATGAAAAATGTGTTACGTAACACTGATTTCAGAAGCTCGCAGTCATTTATTGAGAATTTGTGTTGTGTTTGTATTAACATAGCACACATGTACATACCTTGTAAACATCAACGGTCTCTATTATAGCGTCAAACGCTGTATACAAATCATTCAATAAATCAACAACCTATTTAAAAAACGAAATGATTATTTATATCTAAATGTAAATTTACGTCATGTGTGCGATATTTATAAATGACATGGAAGACAGTGCAGCGAATATTCGTTCATTTTACCTGGAACGGGGTACTCTGTGCTGACAATGCTGTGAAACCAACGATGTCGGAAAAAAATATTGTAACTGCGTCGAAACTCTCCGCTGTTATAGCCTCACCATTTTTCAGCTTTATTGCTACTGACCTGCGGTAATACAAACATGCACCACGTGCGTGCAAATGTGTTTAGTTGAAATATTTTAATAATAATTAAGGAATAGAATCGCGTGGGAGACTTGAGTTTTCATCGGCGTCTGTTGCACAAACATTATGCAACGAGGTATGGTAAAACTAACTTACTCTGGCAGCATTCTGTAGAGAAGTACTTCTGTTTTCTTTTTCTCAACCTCCAACTGCGCTGTTCTCTCAGCCACAATGTCTTCAAGATTATTGGCATACTTTTCTAGCATGGCTACCATATTGTCCAAAATATTATTGGTCCTATAACAAGATCATAGTGCACCATACTTGTGTAATACACCATTGTATGAAAAACGCCCTCTACTGACGGAACGCTTCTGTGACGTCAACACGATGGCTTTCAAATTGTGATTCAAATTCATCACTATGTTCAGTTGCGTATTCGTTTCACATCTTGAATTCACTAAAATCTATAAAACGCATAAAGTTGACTGACTGACAATTACAGATCAAAACGATGTGAATTCGACTGGCCTTCGCATCACCAATTTACGTCATAGTACATCGTCACGTGATCAAGGGACATACGAGTACTTGAAGCAGTTATTTCAGCATGTAGTGTTTCTGCGTGCGACAATAACCTGAAACAAGAGCACTCATCAAGAGCACTCATCAAGTGCACTCATCAAGATGAACACAAACTTTTATTCCACATACATGTAAATTCAAAAATGTTAGATACTCACTTGTTAGGGTTTGCCGCACTTATAGCTCTTTTGATTTCGCCAAGCTCAGGTCTGTGCTCGGGTATTTCATCCCAACATTTTTCAATTACTGATTGGAAAATTGCTGGACACGTGTCATCTGAAACATCGGGGCGGAGGGGAGTTTCACCTCCTTCAATTATCTTGTCAACGATTTCTGTGGAAATATTAGACATATTACTTTATTATGGAATGTATTTGTCATGGCCGAAGTTTCTGTTTAGAGGAATGAAAAGAAGAAGACCTATCAGAGTACGTAATTAATCAAATATCTATATTAGATCTATATTTTTAATAAATCAACACGTACCTTTTGGAGTCATAATATCACTAAAATTCCAGAATGCTTCTCGTCTTGTGACAATCTCTTGTAATACAACACCAAAACTGTAAATATCTCCTTTATGTGTACCTTTTCCGTCAGGTGGAGGATTTCGTAGTAACTCTGGTGCAGTCCAAAGCTTACCTGGAGATAAATCGTCGCTATATATATTTATACATATCAATACATATGTGTAGTATTTTTCAATCAAAAATCTGCAACAAATGTTTACAATATCGCAAGTGTTATTGAAAGATTTCAAATGTTTGATTGGTGTTATTAGAATTTTTAATATATAAATTTGTGTTTTGGAGTCTAAGCATGGATAAGGGTAAAAGTGACCAAGACACTCTTTACGCAAACAGCAACAGATATTCATTTCCAAGCCAAGTTTTAATAGTCTTTGCATTTATAATTGTTCTTTGTTATTTATGAATCTGCAATAAAACATTATTGTATACTAAGCGTACACCCTCGTGTGGCTAGCGATTCGTATTTGAGAAGCCAACGTTCCTTCGAGGCTAGACAATTCTGAATGTTAAGGAAGTGAGGCTAGACAAGTCGTGTGAGTATCTACGAGACTGGAAAACTAGGTATCAGATGTGCACGTGAGGCTAAATTAATTTAGAAAGTATGCTACACTGTGAGGCAAGACAATTCATTTAAAAATGTAAAGAGGCTGTGAAGCTAGAAATCCATGTTAAGGAGGCACACGTTCCTGTGAGGCTTGAAAAAGTACATGTCTCGGTGAGGTTAGAGAACCTCAGATAAGCAGACGTGCATGTGTGGCTGGAGAATTCATTTAAAAATCACAGAACCTGTGAGGCCAGACAATTCCTATAGAAAAATACATTGTGCCTGTGAGACTGGAAATTCATACGTTAGGGGATACATAATACAATTCACGGAGGTATACATCTCTAGGCTACACATTTCATATTAGGTGAGAACACTTCCCTGTGATGTGAAGCTATAACATA